TCGCCGCTCCTCCCCTCCCTTCCCCGCGCCCGGCGTTCGGCCGCCGTGCTCCACACCTCGAACGGGGCGCTCTGCGGACGCGCGGCGGGGGACGTACACTTCGTGTAATAGGAAAGAATATTAGGTTAAACACACGAGCAGGCGGGCTGGGGATTTAGCTCAGCGGCACAGCGCCTGCCTGGCAAGCGCGACGTCGTGAGTTCGATTCCCGGAACCGGAAAAAAAAAACAAGAAAAAAAAGAAACTACGAGCAGGGCATCGCCCCGGAGTAAACGGGCGGGCGTGGTGGCGCAGCCTCCGGTCACAGCGCTCTGGGAAGCGGAGGCAGGGCGCCGCCAAGATCAGCCCAGCCTGGGGCGCTTAACGCCTGAGCCAGGCACTGTCTCAAAACGAACAACGCAAACAAATAAATCAATAGTAAGTTCAAATGGGTTGGCGAGGTAGTTCAATGTAAAGGCTCTGGGTTCAGTTCCCAATACCACGGGGAAGTAACACGTCCAAAGTAAAATAATCCACTGGTAAGCCGCGTTTTATAACGCCTGCTCCCCCCTGACAGTTTAGCCTCAACCCCGGCCTCTGCTCTAATACAGGATAAGTAAACAAAACCATCACTGCCAGCGACTCATACCCAACGGGAGAGAAGAGGGTGGGCGGGGACGATCTCACCCCGGAGAATCCTAATCCAAGAATGAAACGGACAGCAAGAATGGGTGGGGGGGACACCCAGCCGAGAACGTTCCAGAAAGGGGCGTGGCTTAAACGACCGTTAGGATTCATCCCGACCGTTATTCCCCCTCCCCCACTGTCAGTTGTTTCCCCAATATGCAAATGAAGTGTTTACGCGGTACTATTACATGTGTATGTAGCCCTCCTTTTTGCTGTTGTTGAGAGGAGTTTTGTTTGTTTGTTTTGGGGGGGTTTTTTTTTTTGGTTTTTTTGAGACGGTCTTGTGATGTAGTTCAAGCTGGCCTAGAACTCATTATGTAGCCCAGACAGGTCTTGAATTCCAGGTGATCCTCCTGCCTCACCCTCCTGAATGCTGGAATTAAAGGTGCGCACCATCACGCCTGGTTGCATCCTTTTTAAAAGAAGACTTTTACTGAGCATGGTGGCGCACACCTGTAATCCCAGCACTTGGGGAGGCTGAGGCAGGAGGACTGTTGTGAGTTCGAGACGAGCCTGGGCTACAAAGTGAGCTCAAGGCCAGCCTGAACTGCATAGGGAGACCCTGTCTCAAAAAGACAAAACATAGGGGCTGGGGATTTAGCTCAGCGGCACAGCGCCTGCCTG